GACCGAGTATTGAGGATACGGTTGAGGAGATATTGAAGGATGAGAAGGCGAGGTTGGAGAAGAAGTGAGAGGTGTAGTAGCTTATCACTGTTAATCAACTCTTATCTGGCAAGGCTTCAGGATGCGTGCAATCAAACAGCATAGTTAGGCGAACCTGCGCATATCTTGGCCGCATCGATAGGGTGCACATGCTGCGCCACAATCCTCAGCCGGCCTGATGTTTCACACGCCAGGCAACAGCCTTGACACCTGATTGCGTTATCAGGTTTCCAAGAATACAAGGTACAACAACATTCCGTCCAATTTTAAGTAGGATACTAGCAAGCCCAGGTCTTTCCTCTGCCTGTTGTGTTCACTGAGCCATCAGCCCACACACTTGAACAACTCCACCAGTATGGCGAGCATTGAAAGCCGCCCCCTTGGAAAGCAGGCTCTTCGTGGCTTTGGCATCTTCCAAGCCATCGTTTCGATACCCACGATGGTCATCTTGGGCTTCTTCGCATGGGACCAGATGATATTTGCCTATGAAGAGAACTATTACTACTTCTTGTGAGCATGGCCTCTTGCCCCGGATCGTATCACAGCATGCTTCTCGTGCGCAGATGGGCTAATGTCTACAGCGCATCTTCCATAACGGCGCTCATGTCCGCCGGTATTGTATTCATCGTATACGTCCAGCGCAAGGCAATCGCGACGCCGTTCCAGGAGTTCGTATTTGAGATCGTGAAATCGGTCTTTGCAACAGGTCTCTGGCTTTGGCTTGTACTGGACTCTGCATTTGGCCCACATCGAGGTTACTATACAGAACCGGAAGTTGTTAGGAGACGGGTCCAGCGTGATGCTCTCGCTAGCCTCTTGTTATTGTGAGTGTGCAACTTGTGCGACGAATGTAATCGAGAGCTAACACCGTGTAGTGTCTTCTTCTATCCGCCGCTTGGGTACGCCTATGTTGTTTGGAGGACGAAGAGTAGTCACGGAGACGTTGAGCGCGTAGGCGATGATGAAGAGGAGGGAGTGGATCGAGCGGAACGATCACCGCTGCTATCGCGAAACAGCGGGAGGGTCTTGGGTTAGCGCTGTGGTGTTAGCTACATGTCTTGAGCCCTCCTGTGAACAGACTCTGAGGGCTAGATGTCAGATTTGGAGAGGCAACCAATCCTGATCGCTGGCTAGACCAGTCCTTGCAAGTTGTTGTACGTGCGACCAAATAGCGTAAAGTAAAGGCATTTCTTTTTGGGGTATGGTACAGGTGCCGTTCAAATACTGGGTCCTTCATGTAGCCATTCACTGCTCACACGCTACGTTCACGTACGGCTACCACAGCGAGCGTACGTGACCACGATGTGACATGTCCTTCCTTGGGACTGTGTGTTGATCATGTTTCGATAAGTCGTCCCTCATCGTGAAGTGAAATAGGCCGTTCGCCTTCCCTTTGTTCACTCTTCATAGCGAAGGTATTCGTGTCCGTGTGCCTCCACAAATTTCAATCAAGCCTCTTATTCGGAGCTGACTCCAGTCCTTCAGAAGTCGTTGGGCCAGCACTTCTCCTTGGGCCATGTGGTAGCGTCGTGGCTAGCGGCGTGGGCCTCGAGCTGCGCCTTGTTGGTGTTGACGATTTCGCGGCGGCAGTTCTGGCACTGTACGGAATCGGGTGGTCAGCTATGCGCAATGATGCCGTGCAATGCAAGGGTATCAGGTGAGAAGCGCAAGAGTGCCTACGATGGACGTCGGCTTAGGCGCCTTGACGGGCAGGCCGTTTGCCTTGACTGGCGCGCGGGTGCCAGCCTTGTCGGCTTTCTTGTGCTCGCGCTGGATCTGTAAGATGTCAGTAACTCTGTACCAGGTAAAATGAACTGAATATTCAACTTACTCTATCCTTCTTTGAAATAGGCATGGTGGTGGATCGAGTGGATATGTTGGTGTAAAAGCGAGAGGAAATGTTCTGCAAATAGCGCGGGAGAGCGCGATCACTTTGATCAGGGTCTCGCTTAGCGCGTAGTCTGACAGATAAGCCCCGCTTATCGCCGCCTTCCCTCACATGACGAGCCATACTACCTTCACACCATTGACATCGCTTTCAAGCTTTCGAAAGCTCAGCTCGCAAAGATACAGCAACTTCTCCAGCAAGATAATTCCCGTCCGCAGATCTCGGTGTGCACTTGGCACTAATCACGATAGGTCTTGTCCGCTTGAACATGTTACGGGTAGGTCGCGAATCTGGACTTCATCACTACCTAGGTAGGAGTAATAGTCTTTTATGATGCAACGTGAGATGGTAATATTTGCTGACTACGAAAATTCGATGTCTTCCAGCGGCACTCCGCGCTTTAGCAGCTCTGATTTCGTCAACCTCGGATCATGATCTGTCCATGCGTCTGGTGCACTCTCATGACTAAACTGTTGCCAAAATTGTCCTTGTGCATCAGTCCTTCGACGCCATCCCGATGGCAATTCAGTGCTCAGCCTTGGATCTTCGACCTGAATCCTGCCGGATTCCGTATGTAGAAAGACCGGAAAGTTCTCCCCTGATTCCACGTGGTAATGCACCACCTTTTTATATCCACTTGGCAAGGGACCCAAGAATGCTTCGTTGCTACTCAATCCAGGAACATAGCTTTCTCCGATGATCTTATACCGCCCATGCAAATCTGCGCGAATAACCATGGAGGCGTCACACCCAAGCAGGACGCAGATGTAATCGCCCTCGCGTGCACCTAAGGGGCCAGTGCCGAGATGATTGGAGGATGTTGTGAAAAACGCTCGCCGTTGGCACTTACCGAACGCGTGAACTGACGGTTTAAGCTCGCCTTCATACATGATAACCTCGTTGTCCCCGACTGTTACAATGTCCTGAACGAACGCCAGAGTTGACTCCAAACTTGGCAACCACTTGGGAGGTCGCACGTACAGGTCCGATGTGGCACCTCCACAAATGCTAAGACAGAAGGCTTCGGCCATGGGTTTGCCATCGACGTAATCAGAAGACATATCGAAGGTTTTCGCCCACCGTCGAATATTGGAGTTGCAGTCTTTGTATGACCCATCAAATCTGTCCACCTTGGTAATTCGACCCAGCCTCAGTCCCGTCACTCTCAATACCCTATCTTGCAAGAATGCTACCTCACACTCGGAATTCCCGGAAGCATGTGAAGTCGCGGGAAGGTCATGCTTCAAACCCTCGAGATCAGGTATCCATGAGGGCCAGTTACCCAATGTCTCATCATACTGACATAGGCGCAAAAGATTCAGGCGTTTCACCTTCGGTAGATAACACATCATTAGATCCATGTATACATCCACGACTGGTCTCTCGTAATCGGGTCTTAGATCTATCCGAATGTTCGGTTTGGTTGGTAGTCCCAGAATGCCGTATACCCGGTCTCGGGGATCGATGCACCGGGAATGTCGCATTATTTCAAGCAAAGTGACGATCCTTGAACTTTGGAAGTTCGCAAGATAATAGCCATTCCTCAAGAGTGTTGGGGCGTCTTCCCATCCCCGCAGTTCAGAGGAAATCATGACCGTCTTGCAGGCAATGCACCCCAACAGATTTCCGAGTTTTATCCAATCCAATGTGTCGGTGCCGCACATCATCATTGCGTTTGGCCTAGCCAGACGGATCTCCTGCCATATCCAGAGTCGATGAAACCATGGTCGCCGCATGAAGTTGACAATCGCTTGCCAGATTGCTACACCATAGGGGAGCTGCTGTCTTACGTCGCCCCAATGAGCATCGCATGCTTGATCAGACAAACGCCTTAATTCCATCTCTTCATTATCGAACTCGACCTTAGTACTGAGGAACTCGCATGTTTCCATGACTGTCTTGCTGTCGGCATCATCCAGCCCCAACCAAACGATGACTCTTTCTGCTAGGCTGTAGATATCAGCCATCCGCTGGACCTGTTGGCCCCTCTCCTTCATATCATGTTGATTGATAGCAATGCTATCGATCCACAATAATTTGGGCGAAACGGGGTCGCGGAGATACGGTAGGGCTTCCGCAAGGTTTTTGGTAATATCGATGCTTTGATCGCTAGACGACGAAACTCGAAGCCGGCGGGGTGATCCGGTCGGACCCCATGTGTATGAGAGCGCTTCATACGGTGGCACATCTTCCTTTGTGAGCCGAACGATGTTGAGGTCGCAGATCACTTCGCTCTCGCGATCCGCCGCGGGTAGTAGAGTTATCAGCCGAATCTCATCGTTGCTTTCGTCCAGTGGCTGGTAGACATATTGGGCCATTTCTGCTACCGCTGCAACAGCTATTGAGCTGCCGTGTTCGAGTGCAACGAGTGGCGAGCGGGTATCGCGAGGAGAAGGATGGAAGTATACGACGAGCGAAACAACGTATACTGTACTTCATTTGATGATCGGCAGTTGGGGGACCAGACGCAAATCTGCACGAAGAGGATACTCAACCTACTTATACAGTTATTCATGATCTTATCTGCACAATAGTACATGACTCGGTACATCACAGCTAGTAATGTCAGTATGCAGCCTTGCGCATGGTACCTAGGTACCCAACATATTGGATTGGCTACTGCCCCAGTGATTCGCGGGAGAAGGGTGCGGCACAGCACGTCGGACCTGGATCCTTCCTCTATTGCCAGCAGCAGCAGCAGCACGCCATGCGCGGAGCAAAGAAGACCACATCCATCAAACAGATGTGTTCATTGCGACAACGGAAAGCGCAATAGAAGTGAATAACGATCTCGATGAAAAGGGAAGATCGTGAATGCCCGCGCACGTGGCGAAGAAGCCCCGAATCGCGGCTTCCATTTTCCACGTTCTGGCCCTTGCCCCAATTGGCCAGCGGAAACAAACAACGCGCTATTTTTATCAGAACTTCCGCCGCGCTGACTACCCAAACCTCTAATTCCTCGACGCGCCCTCAAGAAATATCCTAATCCGCAACAGCCTGCACGCCGGCACAGAAAGCCACCAAGACTGCCTTGGACAATTTCTGGTCGATATACTAGTACGAAGACAACGAAATGGCGCGTGGCAACCAGCGCGACAAGGCTAGGGAGAAGAACCTCAAGGAGCAGGCTGGAAAGGTATGTTTGAGCCCCGTTTCTGGCACCACGGACAACGGTTATACCAGTCGTTGATCTCTCAAAGAAATATCGCGCTAACTTAATAAACAGAAAGGCAAGAACACTGTATGCGTATCCAAGAGAGACTGGCGATAAAGGCCTCGAGGGGTGTTGGCTAACCACAGGCTGCAGCAATCCGGTACCGAATTCGCGCGCACCAAAGAGAACGTAGCAGAGATCATGCGCGCTAAACAAGCTGCTGGTACGTCGTATTTCTCTTATCTTGGTCACCCAGACTTCAGAAAGGCCATGCGATACTCTCGAGACGGCGACGCTGACTGCCTGTGTAGCTGAGGCAAAGAGGGCCGCTGAGGGCGCTAAGAAATGAGCGGTCAGACAAGATGCGCAACGCGACAAACGACAACATCTTGACGCCACCACCGCCGTCACAGTCGAGCTGTTTAGAAGCCTATCATCATGAAGCGGAGTTTCCTGGGTTTGGATTAGAAGGCGAAGGAGTGTGCTTGGATTGGATTGATTTTGGATACACCGAATACACCGATTTCTGATTTTGAACGCCGTGAGGAGCCCATCGCGCCCTTTTCCCATGCCACACACTCAAGTCTTCATCACGATTCAAACCAAAACACCAAGCACTAATGGCAGTTTTGAAGATAGCAAAGATTGTGAAAGTGCGATCTCTTGGATCTAGCTCTAATACTAAAGTTTTTTTACAACGTTACAATCAAGTCTTTAACTCAAACAGCACCACCGCGCGGCTACCATCGCAGCATGTGGATTACGGTATAATGCGAAACGCCCCAGCAAATGATAAAAATGGTATAAGGATCCGGGGGGAACAAATGCTAAACCAGAAGCTTTCTTGCCCGAACCCGTCGTAAGAATGTTTGTTTCTCGACCAACCACCTCTCCTCCAAGACCAACCAAGCGCATACACCTAGTTGATCCATTCCCCAGCTCCTTCTCATTACACCGTTTCTCCCAAGTTTCTATTCGTGAAGGCGTCTATGCGATCATGCCGGGGAAACCGCCGAAGTTGTTGATGGCGGCGGTCTCGGGGAAGGAGGCCATGCCGCAGAGGCATTGGCAGGAGCAGGTCTGGCCGGCACCGTCGGTTCCTTGTCCAGCGACGACGGTGGCGGAGGCGAGAGCACCCGTGCCAGTACCGGTGCCAGTTGCGGCGGCACCTCCAGCCTCGACGGTGACGGTGGTAGGGGCGGCCGCGGCGCCGGGGTCGACGGACTGGAGGTCGCCGGCAACGAGACCTGTGCCGTTGGTCTTGATGGCTAGGCCCTTGAAGTCGGCCATGGTCTTGTCGCCAGTCTCGGCGGCGTTGATGCTGAAGACCATGCCCTTTCCGCAGTGGATGCCGTTTTGTTGCTTGCAGTAGAACCCTTGATGATGTTAGCTGTCGTTCGTGTTATCACCAAATGTAGAAAACTTACAGAGCGGCTCTGTCGTCTCGACGGTCATGTTCCATGTGACACCCGCCTTGCCCTCGGGGTTGGGCATGAAGCCAGAGTCCATGCCTCCCTCCATCTTTTTGCAGGGCTCGGCGAAAGTTGATTGAGTGGCAGTGTGGTTCTTCTGCATGAATTCGAAGACGACCATGTCGCCGACGGCGGCCTTGATGGACTCGGGGTTGTATCCTAGTACGGGTGCCATACCAGTCTCGACGGGCTTGACTCCACCAACAACGACCTGCTGTATGTTAGATAGAGTTCAATAGTAAGTAGTATGAGTGAACTTACAGTGTGCGTCATCGCGCCCATTGCGACCTCGGGGGCAAGGCTCATAACCTGCATCTCGGCGGAGGCAAGTACGGCCGCTAGGGGTAGTGCTGTGAAGTACTTCATTATGACTAGATTGCGTATCGTGTAAAAGTGTCGTAAAAGTGAACGTAAGCCTGCGCTGCAAGCACTAGAATGTACGATAGAAGGTTTGAAGGATTGAAAGGGCACTACGAGGGCCGGCTCGGACAGTAAGAAGCAGATGAAGTAAGAGAAAGAGACAGTGAAGCACTGGTATTATGAGGCAAGAGCGATGAGATGAGGAGAAAGTTTATGCCTGGGGATTGTCTATTCCTTAAATCCACGCATGAAATTGTTGGATTTGGAAGGCGTGCAGGCCGTTGCGCACATGGCGAAACACCAGCCCCTTGCGCTCGGCATGGCATGGGGGAAACGTTGATCGGCTGCAAGAATGGCGAGATTTTGGTGATGCGCACTTGCTTGGGCGCAACGGCGGGGGGTGTTTGGGACTTGAACCGTTGGAGGTGGGTTCGAGACTGTCGCGGTGGTGTCGCAGATCCGTCTCGCTTCTCGCCAGACAAGCCCAATGCGGTAATCTAAGAACCACCAAGGCTATAGGCGCAGGGACAGAACTAATCAGGATGCCTGGACTATGGGGCTGGGAACTCGTGAGCCGCATGGAAAACTGCAGAGCTTTCATCTCGCAGCCTGCGTTCCCGAGGAGTTGAGGCACGAACTGTGTAGGTCGTCAGTCGCGTGCAGGGACTAGACCATGGCATTCCTCACCCCATTGGTTCAAAACAACAACTTTCAAGCCTCAATATGTCTGCTTCGTCTTCTAAACTCGCTCGGCAGCCACAGTGTGATGCGCACTGCCTCCAAAATGCGTCATTCTCTGGATCCGCTACTGAGTCGCTGGGGGCTCTTTGCGAGCCTGCTGCTGGCCAGCATGCAAACCAGTGTAGTAACCGGCATAGTACCAGGACATCATAATGTTCTTCATATTCTCATCTTGCACTATTGAGAGTTAGCAGCATGTCACCAACTGTCAAACTTCCACACCATCCGGAAGTAACGGCTGTCAAAATCACGACTTACCGGTTCCAAGGATGGCCTGCGGCATGGCATCTGCAAGAGTGCCGGCAGCATGTGGCACCGGAGGAGCCTCAGCACTTGGCGATTGGATCTGCGGTTCTTGCTTCCCGGAGAGATCTGGTTCCTGGTTCTCGTAAGACAGGGTTCGGTACTGGGCTGTTTCATATGTACACGTACCTGCTGCGGCGACGGACCGCTTTGAGCAATGCCATTGGTTTCTGACAGCGGCGTGTCTACATCTTCATGATCCGCGACACCGCTGGTCTCTGCTGTTGCCGATACAGCCTCCGCTTCATCCATCAGGTCCCCATATTCCCTAGAAACGTTAGTATCGTGATGTAAAGGCTTGGAGAGCTGCTTACCCCCGTGCTTCCTTTAGCTCTTCCTCCGTCAGGACGTCTTCAAGTTTCTTGCCTGATTGGTGGATACTGTGGTATTTCTGTTCTGTTTAGTCGATATTCTCGCGGAAACTACGAAAACGACGCGTGTAGAAACGTACTTTGTACTCATTCACCGCCTCATCCCAGGAATCGATCAGCAGAGAATCATCCCACGCGTTCTTGTCGCTCATGTCTACAACGGGTGCCATGTTGAACTTTGGATCTTCGGCGGTGTACAGAGCAAGTTGAGTTGCTAGCCTGGTAAAATGCTGTGAGAGCGCTCACTTTTTTCTTTTCGGTTTCAAGTATTTCGCTTGGTGTGAGGTGAGTATCTGGAGTTGTAGGTTAATGGTGAGGGCTGGGGACTATCTTGGCAAGTGTCCATTAGCGCGACTGCCACGAAAAAAGTTCCCGCGTCTGAGCTCTCCTCCGAACTTTTGCGCGTAACAACATTCGCGACCACACAGACCCCACGCCATTACACCAAATCACAATGGCTGCCCAAGACACCACAGGAAAGAAGCGCAAGGGTGAGCAATTGAGATATTAATAATTCCCGATCGCGGTCGCTAACTTGTCTCAGGCGCATCAGAGGCGGCGCCCAAAGCGAAGAAGCCGAGAAAGTCGGACGATGTCGCGCCCGTCGAAGCCAAGCCAACGCGGAAATCTGCGCGCAAGCAAGCCGCCGACTTCATGGACATTGAAGAGGAAGCTGCGCCCGTCGCCGTTGCCGAGCCTGTCAAGCCGAAGAAGGGCAAGAAGAGCAAGGCCGCTGCCGACGTCGATACCGAGATGGCCGAGCCCGTCGCGGAGGTAGTCGAGGTTGCTGAAGTACAGGAGAAGCCTAAGAAGCAAGCAAAGAAGGGCAAGACCGCCGCCAAGGCCAACACAGAGGTCACTGAGCCTGTCGCTTCCGTCGTAGAGGTCACTGAAGTGCAAGAAAAGCCCAAGAAGGGTGGCAAGAAGGGCAAGACTGTAGTCGCAGAGGAGACTGTCGTAGCAGAGGCCCCTAAGGAGAAGGCCAAGAAGTCCAAGAAGAGCAAAGCTGCTGAGGCCGAGCCAGTTGAGGACGCTGTCGCCGTAGTAGAGGAGACTACTGCAGTCGCAAAGCCAGCGAAGGCAAAGGGAGGAAAGAAGCAGAAGGCGACTGAACCCGAGGTTGAGGTCACCGAGGTCACAGCGGTGGAAGACGACGCGGACGATGCCGCCGAGGACGACCAGACGGCAGCTCTCCTCGCTGGCTTCAGCGACTCAGACTCAGACGACGCCGATGAGGACGTCAACTTTGACGAAGAAGCAAAGGTTCCCAAGCTCAGCGCCAAACAGCGGAAAGCGATCAAGCAGGCGGAGGCCGCACCCAAGTCCAACCAGCCTGGTGTCCTCTACGTTGGGTATGTGAACCAGTCCATTATATACTACATATTGCTAACAATGCGTTTAGTCGTGTGCCCCGCGGTTTCTTCGAGCCCCAGATGAAGCAGTACTTCTCGCAATTCGGCAAGGTCAACCGGTTACGCTTGTCGCGCAACAAGAAGACTGGTGCTTCCAAGCACTTCGCTTTCGTCGAGTTCCAATCCGAAGAAGTCGCTGACATCGTCGCACGAACAATGAACAACTACCTACTGTTCGGTCACATTCTCAAGGTCCACCTTATTCCTGCTGAGCAGGTACACCCCGACCTCTTCAAGGGTGCCAATGAGCGGTTCAAGGTCGACCCTCGCAACAAGAAAGCCGGTCTCGAGATGGAGCGCGGTGTTGAGCGTGCGCAATGGGAGAAACGCGTGGAGAACGAGAACAAGAGGAGGACAAGCAAGGCTAAGCAGCTCAAGGAAGTCTTTGATTACGAGTTCGAAGCACCGGCGCTCAAGACTGTCGACAGCGTCCCTAAGCACACCAGCATCACTACGCTCGAGGCCGCGAAGCCCCAAGAGCTTCTTACTCAGGCGGCTACTGAGGAGACCACAGCTGCTGAGCTCCCCAAGGCAAAGAAGGGCAAGAAGGGCGCCAAGGCTCAAGCAGCACCACCACCTGCAGAGGTCGCTGAGGTCACAGAGGTAGTCGAGGCTGTCTCACCTGCACCAGCAAAGAAGGGCAAGAAGGGTGCAAAGGCCAAGCCTGTTGAGGCAGCTAAGGTCGTGGTGGAGGAGGTCGCCGCGCCTGCCCCAGAGAAGAAGACCAGGAAGCGCAAGTCGGATGTCACGGTCGAGACTACTACCGTCACCGAGGAGGCCGTCCCAGAAGTAACGCCCAGGAGCAAGCGAACCAAGAAGGAGAAGGTCGTCGTCGAGCCCATCGTCGAGGAGGTCGAGGAGAAGAAGACCGCTGCCAAGCCGAAGAAGGCCAAGAAGGCGAAGGCCTAAACGCGCTGATATCAGCTTTGACAGCTGTCAGCTTCGTTGTACATGTTTAATGGCCGTGGCAGTTTACGACTTTCTGCATTCGACCACCTGCACCATTCTTCATCGATGAGCCGGCGTTACGTAGACAAAACGTGGTTTTAGCGTATCCATACCAATGCAGCATTCAACCATCCAGTTTCGTTTCCCACTGCGCGTTATGCGTGTTTTTCACATGCCATCCACCTGATTTGACGTGGGACTTCTCAAGTGGGCACTTCCCCCCTGGTCTTTTACTCCACATTTAAACCTCATGCAGAAGGAGCACAAAATATATTCGCGCTTACACGAGCTACCTGTCCAGACGTGGAAATGTTCCGTAGAGTGGATCTTGCCTCGAGTAGGCACGGGAGATGGTTCTCGTATAAGATGACAGTGCTTCCTACGCCAAGATCTCCATTACCTCTACATTGCTGATACTCTGTCTATAACATCTGTGCATTTACCGCTCATCGTTTCCATCTTCACATATTCATTCATATTCGTTACTTCGGAATGGCGGAGAACGACGCACGCCTCTCGGCATCGCAAATGTACGAGTCCGTTACATCCTTACCCCCAGCAAAACGCCACATCATCACACACAACGCAGAGGGCAAAAGCACTGTCCATTCGAGCCCAACGTTACAGTACTACGGATACCCAGGTATCGGTGGAACATCTCGATCATGTACGTCTTAGCCATACCACCCACCCACTGGAGAAAGTAAAACAACACTACACACCACCAACATGTCCATCAAGTAGACAGACATACTAACCCCACCCCCTCCTCCAACTAGACGCCACATCCTCCATCCCAGCCTCCCTCCAAAACGACCAGGACATCTCTGTCTACACCTCCCCAGAAGGTGAATCTAGCTACACAGGCCGCAGCATCGTAGCCAATGGCTCTGGCTCCCACCTCATCGTCTGCGATCTCGCCCCTGGTCAAGCTAGTCAGATGCATCGTACTGTATCTATTGACTACGTAATCTGCACCCATGGCGATGTTCGTATGGAGACTGCGACTGGGGAGATGGTAGATTTGAAACCTGGTGTACGTATTCCCTTTCTTCCTCCTTGGTTTCCCCGTTCCCGGTTTGTTTTGGGAGTAGATAAAAAGGACGCGTGATTTTGTTGTAAAATTGCTGATGGAGTGGGAATAGGATCATGTTATCCAGCGAGGCACGATGCACAAGTGGCATAACGCATCCGAGACTGAGCCCGCGAGGTTTATTGCTATCACGTTGCCTGCGGAGCCGTTTCAGGTTCCGGGTACGGGGGAGATGTTAGCGGAGGAACATGTACAGGGGAGTGAGGCTAAAGACTGGGATGTCAGTAAGATGTGAATGAGTCGATCGGAGATTTGGGGAAGGATGGAGCGTAGTTAGATCATAGAAGAGGGTATAGGAGCGGCACGAGGTGTTGAAGCATACGGCTATAAACCTGAAGAGATCACCACAAGTCACAACCAAAGTTATATAGACGTTCAAGGATTTCATTTCGCTAATGATGTAACACAAAGACCACACATACAACCCTTATTTTGCCTCGCCGCTGCATTATCGATGACAACTAAGCTTACAAGGTACAACGAATCTAGCCTGTGCCCGATACTGCGAGCTTCATAAGATGGTCCATGAAAGTCTGCAGACTGACGTCGTCGGTGAAGATGGTCTGAGCTGTCGCAGCACCGCCATAGCTGTTAGTTTGATGTGTGGTCGAAGGGTTGAGCTTGCTGAGCAGGAAACGAGCTTGTGAACCGCCGGCATCACAGACGATGAATCGAGGCAATGGGAAACGGTCCTGGATGAGCTCCTTGGCATCCTCCTTCGGTGCCTCCAGAAGCTCCCTGAAGTTCTCATAACCTTCTTGCTCTTGGTATCCAGCCTTCCGCCATTCGGCCATTGTTTCGCCGTGGAAGATGAGAATGTGGAAGAATGTGTCGAGCAATAGCACCGTCTCGTTCTGGATGGAGCTAGAGTCAAGCAGGACAGGCTGGCCACCTTCGTGGTCGAAACCGTAGCTGTCTAGTGTTGGCTGAATCATGATGAGGGAGTTGCTAACGTCCTCGTGATTCAAGACGTGACGGTAGAAGGCGGTTTCGTCAGGCGAGTTGTTGAAGACTTGCAAGAACTGCGATCGACGAAGATGGAACATGAATTGCGGGTATAGTGTGAAGTTCTTCTCAAGCCTGGTCTAGTAGTTAGTATCTGGTATCGAAGCGAGAACTATATGTCCCAGAGTGATGAAGGCCTTACCTGAACGACGACGGGTCATCTTTCCTGTACTCGGCGAAGCGAGCGCATAGTCGGATAAGCATACGATCGACCCATCGAAGAACGTCAGGGCCATCGTCAACCTCAGCCTTGAAGACTGCTATCCTCGACATGAGGACAGCAGCAGCTTCTTGATCGAAGGACTGGGCGATGGCAGGGTCGCCAGATGGACCGCTCATGGGTCGGGCCACGGTGGTAACTGTGAATGTTTAGCATGCGTGCTTAGCTTAAACACATTCCAGAGAACTCATACCTCTCAAATGATACTGGCCAGCGGAGTGTTGATAGTATGTGAGGAACTGAATGAGAGCCTGTTGCTGCGAAGAGGTCACGTTGGACCCGCCTTGGTTGGCAATCTCGAAATAGATCGAGTATGAGGCTTCGGGGTCAATACCGCACATTTTCCAGGCGCATGTGTTTCCGATACCGCATTCCGTCTCACCAACAGAGACGGACTTCTTGTTCTGCGACACAGCGTGTCCAATAAGACCAGTGATCTTCAACTCTCTGGTTGTCAGCACCTCAAACTCGGCATTGAATCCCATAAGGAGGTTGTCGTCCGCATCCTTGTTGAAAACGCGCACGAAGGATTGCTTGTACATGGACGAGGTGAAGCTATCCGTCAGAATCATGTGTCCACCAGTGTTGTTTGCAAGACCCCTCATCTCAAGAAGACCGACCTGATCCAGACATCCGGCAAAGATGTCAACAATATGGCCGTTGTGGGAAATGCGCTTCGCAAGGCCCTCGTAGAACTTCAGTGCCTTCTTGTAGTACTTGATGTTGTCGCGGTCGATGTCGTGGTGCGATCGGATGGGCTCGCGCAGCTCCGGGCCAACAACCATACCAGGTCCCTCGGTGGCTGGACCACCGCTAAACAACATGATGCGGGCGGCACTGTTCATGAAGCTCGTCTCCAGGAGTCCAGCAGCGACGCTGAGCGCTACACCGGTGCACCTCAAGGGACGCTTATCGTTCGCGACTGGCCAGGGGTCCCGTTGGATTGATTCGAGAGCGTTGGTCAACTGCAATTCGCACTGCGATACGGGTAGGATGAAGCGCGTGCCAACGCCACCTGGAGCGCCCATAGGTGGACGTCCAGGCTGCTGTGGGACACCAGGTCGAGGAGCCATCTGGCTGAGGCCTAGCATCTCGTGCACTTGCTTGGTGGAGTAGTCCTTGCTTCCGCGGAAGACGTACGACTTGGCGCATTCGGTGTAGCCCAGTTCGTGTACTTGTGTCTATGGCTGTCAGCTTATAACACTCATTCTAGCTTCCTGTACCTACCATTGTACCGTATGTGACCAAACCAACCAGCGCGTATGCTGGGAGCAGGCTCAAAGCCATGATGATCGAGTCCTTCAGCGCCTTCAAGCTGTCTTCCTCTTGGCATGTGTCTACAACAAAAATGAAAATAGGTGGGCTCGGTATGGGTCGGGGAAGGCGGTATTCGATCGTGGTACTGTTCGGGTGCATCTCTGGGGGCATCTGCTGGTTGGAGATGTCCTTGTAGTGCGGGGGCAGGTGATTGCGGTTCAAGCAGAAGGGGCATATCCACTGGTTGGCGCGCATATCAATTTGGCTGTCTCAATGTCAGCTTGAGATATGTTACAAGAAACTATGCCAGGCATACCAGTAGGGGTTGAGGATAGCTTTGCATGGCGCCCTGCAGCTGACAGGCTCATACTGGAGGAGCGGAGTGTCCGTCTTCTCCTTGAGAGGCGTGTAGTGTGCACCAATGGGAACGACTAGGCGGGAAGCTTCCTGTATACCGCATCAGTACGTTGCGTCCCTCGCGCCGACGTTGTCTATCGTACCATGCGCGTGCTGGGAAACGTGTTCCAGCTGAGACGGACGCCATCCCTGTCTTCAATGTCGCTCCACTGGTCCTTGAGCGCCTCGAAATCGGCCATGCTGGGCGGTTGCAGCTATCTGGGCTGCGCGAGGAGGTCTGGGGTGGGTGAGGGTTGTCGAAGGTTGGTGGTGGAGGGACCGAGGACGCCCACGATGGGAGATTTGGCGGGGCGGTGTGAATGTAGCAGGCGCGAGACGGGGAGCTGTAGTTATATGCAGCAAAATGTACCGAGACGTGTCAAGTGTTCCTCCCTCAAGGCAACAACTGCACAGGATAATGCAACGTCGTAGGAAGCTCACGCACTTGAACTTGCGTGGATACCTCAGTTGGCGATGCGGCCAGATGTTCTTGCCCTAGCGCTCCCAATCCGGCCTAGCACCACCGAAGCTCCGCTCCGCCCCAGCCTCAAAACCGCGATTTTCCTCGCCGTCGCTCTTTTTCTCTTCATCACCGCCAGCAACAAATACACTACGTAACGGCAGGCTCCCATTTCTTTGATGAATGAGCCTGTTTTCGCGCTGCGCGAAGAAGAGATTTAGACCCATGGCTGGGCGCCCGATCTGGAAAACTCATTCTGAGTATACTGATAGGTTGGGAATCAGCAGAGGTCACATTCCATCATCGTGCAGTCTTCGTCATTAGAATCTCGTGGACCTTTCATCTGAACTAGAAGGAAGCCTTCAAGGCAGGCATTTTCAATCCGCATCGTCAAGCAACGTGTTCTTCGTACCGTACTCATTGTTGACCATGGTTCATAGTCTTGCTGAAGATAACGTCCACCTCCTCGATCATTGTAGCCTTTAGGCAATCGTACACGTCACTTCTGATGTTCAGACCTATCCCGCTCTTTGGAGAGCCTACGCTTGTCAGCAGCTACAAGATGTGATGACATCCAAAGGCTTCCCCTCTTGACGACGCGTTTGTACAACGAATTCACGTCCTTACGTGGGGGCAAAAGCCCCAATCATTACATTCCTGTTCAAGCGGTTCGTTGCGAGGCGAGCGTGGCCGTCTTGATCGTGTCAGAAGCGTCTGATGAATATGGAGCATTTGGACTTCATGTAACTTATACAACAACACCCACGTCGGCCGCCATCATCCAACGCCTTCTACGGCACCAATTACACATTGACGGAGACACGTCCGATGTTCCCGCTGGAGCCTCCAGATCTGCAGCTGTGTTTGGACGTTACCAAACTCCTGATATATTAACAATCTGAATCCGATCGGGTAAATGCATCGTAATACACTAGCCTCATCACCTGCCAGCGTACTGTGCGATGCATCAGAACTTGGGTATATATGTATTTATGATGTGTGTAGTATCTCTTGTTGCGTTCTGTATTCTCCAAGTCTAGTCAATCTTACAGTCCATGATCATGGCTCGCACCTCTGCACTTCTTATCTCGCTTCTTGCAGGTCAGGCCTGCGCCCACACTTTCATCTGGGTATTCTCAGCCATTCCCAACTCCCCAGTCTCTATACTAACACCCCCAGGGCGTCTTCGTCAACGGCATAGACCAAGGAACCTTCAAAGGCGTCCGCATCCCCGCCTACAACGGCCAAAACGGCAAAGGCGGCTACAACAACTCGCCCGTCAAAGACCTCGACTCCATCGACATGCGCTGCAACGTCATGGGCGACATCCAAGCCCACGACACCATCAAAGTACAGCCTGGCGACAACCTGACCTTCGACTGGCACCACGAGAACCGCAACAACAAAGACGAAGTCATCGCCAACTCGCACCATGGCCCCTCGCTCATCTACATCTCACCTGACCCACCGACGGAGAACTCTTTCGTTAAGATATGGCATGAGGGCAAGTTCGAAAGTAATCCGTTTCCGCAGGCGGGCAAGTGGAGTACCACCGGGGATATCGCGATGAACTTTGGGCATATGAATGTTAGGGTGCCGGAGGGGCTGAAGGCAGGACATTACATCATTCGTGCGGAGATGGTTGGTCTGCATGAGGGCGATGTGAGCTATCTCGCGAACCCGAAGAGAGGCGCACAGTTTTACCCCGATTGTGTTCAGATCGAGGTTGAAGGCGATGGCGAGGTGGAATTGCCTGAAGGTGTGAGCTTCCCTGGAGCGTACTCTTATGAGGATCCGGGTGTTGTGCACAATGTGAGTCTCCTCTACCCAAGTCATAACCCATGGTTCGTTCGCTGACGTGAGACAGGTATACTGCTCCACTGAAACAAGGAAACCGAAGACTTCCACCACCCCCTGCGTCACCGACTACATTATCCCAGGTCCTACCGTATGGTCTGGTGCCTGGGCTGAGACTACCGCAGTTCCAGTCGGACCTGTCGATGGTGTTACAACTGCGACGGCATGGAGCACATGGATTGGTACCGATAGTGTTGTTACGAGCGCGACGTTTGCGGATGTGAAGAGTCAGACGATCGTGGGGAGCTCAAAGTATACTGCGAGTTGGAGCGACACGTATGCTACGCCTACTGCGACGGCTGCGCGTTGGTAGAAAGTGGTCGAGAGGACGTGTGCAATAGTTCGACGCAAATCAGAACGCATTCATTTCTCTGACAGTCATTCGCAATCCATTTTCTGGAAGCTTTTCATCGCATGGGCCTCCGGAGGAGACGTTGGGCCCATTCCCTTCCAAATGCTTTTCCAATACCACGTCGTTTTCAAAAGCCAGATCGCAAAGCAAAACATTTTCACTGCATTAACCACGGAGAATCATACCCTCAGCTTCCTCGTCTAGTCGCCGTCCATGCTACTCAGTCATCCAGGACTATAACTTCAGCCTTGCGCTTCTTTCCCTGTCCGCGCGCGGCGCCATCATCAGCGTGCTCGCGCTTGATCTGCGCCTGCGATTCATTCGAGATGGGCTCTTGCTTGATTTGTACGCTATCGGCGTCTTCTCCCTGCATAATGGTTAGTGGCTTCGAGGTCCCGAATTTGTAAATCCTTACCTCGTAATGCTTGAGCAGTAGCAGTAGACGCTTCCGGCTTTGACCCGCCAGTCCCTTGGTGTCGCCGCGGTAGTGCTTGATGAGAGCAATGATTTCTGAATCTCTGAGTCCGTCGTGTTCGGTGGAAGTAGGTTGGCCAGAACCCTGTTGGAACGGAGTGGGTGTGCTGCTGACGATATTTGGTTGTAGAGTGGCAGCAGTTGACATGACGTTTGGGACAATGATTGGTGTGGGCTCAGGTAACTCTTCCTTCTTGACCAGCTCTAGTTTAGGAGCTGGAGGTGGACTTGGTGAGCGGGGTATCATGCCGAGAGCTTTCAGTGCGGCTGTTGCTTGTGAGTATTTTGATCATGCGCTTACACGAACGACTTACCGCTAGAGCGATACTTGAACTGGAATGCTACCAGAGGTTCTTTCGCCTTTTTAGATATGTATTTAGTAGCTGGCTCTATGACATGTGCTGGTGCCAACCTATTCATCGTTTAGCATCTTCTGAACGGCATCTACAATACGGACATACCTTATCATGTGAGAGCGCACATCGCCCTTAACAGATTCTTCAGAGACTTCTCCAACCTCTCTTAACTCTGTCTTTTTGCCTTTTGGATGTATCCTTTTCCGATAGCTTAGGATTGGTGTAAGTTTGACAGATATAGTGCCCACAGAGCTCAGAGCCTCTAGGGTTTCTCTAAAGGTCGTTGCACTCTTCTCTTCGACTAGAATGTCTCAGTATGTACGCGATCGTATTTTCGGCTCCATTTGGAGCTTACATACCCACACTGAGGTCTGAGAAGAGAAAATTAGATGCCCTCCACGTCCCGTTATCGTTCCAGCGCGTGTTCGATTGATCGTAAGGTCTCATGAACATTTCCGTTTTGAGCACGATGAACTTGCTCATGATTACTCCGTCTAGACGAACGCACAAGTCTGTATCCATCGGGGTAAAAGGTGCCTTGAAGTTCGTATGTATCGCGAATTCCGCACCCGACCGGCATTCAACGTATCGCGTGGTTGTCTTAGGCACATCTTCCTCTTCCGAGTCCTCGTATTCCTCAAGTGGTTTGCCGTCGACGTATATCTCCACTGTCAGGCCAGGATAGTCGGTATGGATCGCCATGCTGATGTCGTAAACCGATTTGGGTGACGGTGAGAAAAGTGGAAGGTAGATGGAACGAGAGGAAGATGGTGTATATAGGTATGGATCCAATTGTACGCTAGCGTGTGACGACAGCCAGGTAAAGGCAGTATGGCATGCTGGTTGGGTTTGATGTGAGTGCGTATCCCGAGAGTAAGAGGTATTACGCATGAATTGTGACTAAAGGTACACCAAGTTGGATTTAGGGACAAGTGATGACAGGAGATTGATATAATGCTCTTACCATCTACAGTAGAGAGTCGCTATTGCGAAGGACATAGCGCTCAATCAGTTTTGAAGGTGAGTATAAGCGCATCTGTATCCTTCACCAGGTCTCGTCATATCCCTATCCCGTCAGCTTCCACTCAAGGAAACCATAATAGAAAAACTTTTGCACGACCAACACACAGTTCTAGTCTAGTACGATGAACTTGTCATCCGCACCACGGTGACGCTTCCGGTTTTCAGTCCAAAGAACCATTACCCCCTCTTCATCGCTCACCTCGATAGCTTCATCGACTCGCTTGCGCTTGACACCGGCTTCTTTCTTGATCTTGACCGAAGCTGCGTTGCGATCCTGCCATAGTGAGTACGTGATAGTATAATACTTTGCTGACAATGTACCTTGAGCTGCTTGACGAGTTGGCGTAGTTCATGCGGAGTGAGCTCATCTTCGGGTCGCTCTTCCAGAGGCGGAGGGGTCGGCTCGTGTGGGACAAGACCCAGGATGCGGAGAGCATCTACACAGATCAGCTGGTGGCACGACGTCGCAAAACTATTTTGACTTACTCAAGGAACGGTATTTGAAATTAAAGGTAGCAAACGGAGACTTCGTGACGCGATCGTAGTCCCACCAAGTTTGGTATGTGCGGGCGACAGGTTTAGATACACTGTGAAATTAGCATTGTCTTCATAAAGTGTGATTAAACGTACCCAGCTCGATGTGTGTGAGTGTAGCCTTTCATCGCCTTCTCGGAAATTTGAATCGATGCTGGGGTACTCTCGACGATGTGATTCGGCACGCTGCACCGGAGATTCCGTATATACCTCAAGCTGACAGATATGGCACCAGTCGAAGTCAAGTCAGAGAATGGTGTATTTCCTTCAACTTCCGATCGTCAGCTCAGCTTTCACATATTCAACATCTGTTTGCGCATCGTAAACTTCCCATCCACTGTGAACTTACCAATTTCCAGCTCTGCGAAGAAGAACTTCTGTGTCTTTGCGTATTGACCAACTTGAGAGTGACGTCCCTCCATCAAATGGTCGTTGAAGAATTGATCTTCTCTGATAAGCTCACACATGAACACTCGCCCATCGAGACTGATCTCGGCTTCTAGATGACCCTTTGGGAAAGGAAACTCCTCCATGAGCAAGACTTCGATCGTAAAGTTAGCCCCAGAGGTCGCCTCGACATATTTGGTGACCATCGTCGGCGAAGCGGGAGTGTCGCTATTGTCATCGTACTCAGGCAGTGAAGCGCCGTTGACGACGATCTCGACGGCAAGACCGGGCAGGAAGGGAAGAACAGCCATGGTGCAAGAGGACCTTTGGAAGCAAGCCGTGTTACTGGTGGGAAAAAAGAAGGAAGCGAGGTCTCAAGATTAGAATGCTGGAAATCGTTAGATACCGCCCACTAACTAGGCGTAGTGATAGAAGCGAACTAGGCGTGAATGAAGTTAGTATATGGTGTTGAAGGAGGTGAAGGCAGCTATTCTATTAACAGGTCCTAGCGTGTTGTGAACATATGAGCTGCGACTAAACTTCCCGAGTGGCTATCTCTAACTATTACTAGACGTGTGGAAAGACATGTTCTCTCATGGCTAATTGTACATACATGCCTCTAAAGGTGGTTACATGCATCAACACTTCGGCAGTATACTTCCATGCGTAAACTTGGAGTTGGCCCAGGGTTTGAAGTTCGCTCCCACTTCGGTGTAGACGATCTTTCGGCGTTTTGACACCATCTCAGGCTCAGCGCCGTCAAGACCGAATAGATATCCTCTCAGTCTATCACAATAATTTCTTGCTCCACATGCGGACGTTTGCGTTGGCGCGTCTCGACATAGGTCACCTCATCACCGTCGTTGGTGGTCCTCTCGCGCTTGACTCTGATAGTAGCTTCGGGTTCTTGCTTGATAGAAGCGCTTTCTGATTCTCGCTGCAGATATTTGTAAGTTTCAACATCAGTGAGTTAACGCGCATGCATACTCTCCGTACGCGCCGTAGCAGCTCTCTCAGCTCGGCAGGTGTAAGGTCTTCTTCGGGCCTTTCTTCCAGAGGAACAGGGGCAGGGTCGTTGACTGTAACAAGCCGAAGTGCTCTTAAGCTCGCTGGAAAGACCTTCGTATCAGTGATTGTCACAGCGTGAACGTAGTTTTCGACTCACCAAGTGATCGGTATTTGAAGTGGAACGTTGCGAATGGCTCTTTGTCTAGGTAATCGTAGTCTCCGTAGCGAGGTGTTGAGTACCTCGAGCACTTTTCAGGTTTTGACAGACTTCAAATGGGTTAGTTCTTTCCTTTCTGACAGTTCCACTCGCTCTTGACGTACACTATCTGGTGCGATAGCGCGTCACCCTTGAGCGCCTTCTCGGGGATTTCCTCCAGAGCTGCAAGCTGGACCTGCGCAGAGAAAGATTTCTCTTCAATTTCTCGGTAACTCTTGATGAGCTGGAAGGATAAAGTGATACACCCTGTAGTACTGAGGCTTTGCTTCAGCGCAGCAACATCAGGGACAGATCCACGAGCCTCTTCGACTATGTGAATGCATCAGCTCACGACAGGACACGACGTTCATAGTACTTACCAATGTTCAGCTTAGCAAAAGAGAACTTTTGCTTGACCGGTTGTCCACCTTCTTGCCAACGAATAGAGGTCCTCTCGAACGGTTTTCTAAGAAGGTCCTCTCGTAGCCAGAACCATGAGGCCATCTTGACTCCGTCAATCGATAGCCGCCCCCTAACATGGTACTGAGTCGAAAAAGAGGCACTGAATCTAGTTACGATCGAGAAGTTGCTATCTGAGCGCGCCTCGATGTACTTTGTGGTCGCCTTCGGTGCCGGATCCTCATCGTCGTCGTCATACTCATGCAACGGCTGACCATCAACGTTGATCGTGACTTCCAAGCCGGGATACCCAGGAGCGATGGCCATTTTACTCCGCTTTTGGGTAGGTTAGCTAGATGCGGTGTCGGACCCGCGGCGACCTAGAGCGCCAGAACGAAGGTGCGCTAAGCGTAGAGCATGCGAGGAAGCGTCGCTTTGAGATGTAAGACCACCACCTCGCCTTCGAGTGTAGTGGGTGAATGCGATTGATCTGCAACAGCGGGGTTGTAGTAGGGTGGAAGGAGGTGCCCAAGGCTCGATGCTCAATGTTTGCTCTATGCCAAATATGGCAAGGCGCTCATGCTAGCGCGCCCTTGCGGAACTGATGATGCACAACAGCAGGAGCAGGAGCGTCCGCTTAAGCACCCTTTTCTATACTCAAAAGACGTAATTTACTTACAGACACTAGAGTGTTGTGAGAGGTACTGAATTTACTGCCCATTCAGGCGCCATCCTGCGCATTCGCTGAGGCGGACGCCCGAACTCACCGCGCGTCCAGGATGCCATTGATGCAAGTCCAGAGAAGCCAAATGCGAAGAGGCACTACTTGCAAAGCTGTCGGGATCAAACCACTTAGCTCTCATCCCACACGACGCGTCGCATCTCCTCTGTGATGAAGATGGCGAAAACATCAACCAAGAATGACGCATCGTGGCACAGATCGCACACAGAGAGAGCCGCCTCGAACAACAAGCATGCGATTCGTAAACTGGGGATCTACCTTGAGTCAGCTGCTTAATCATATTAGATTTGGAATGCATCAAGCTCATAGGTGTAGCTAGCAAAGCGGTGACTGACCACGTAGCATTTGGGTTTTGGAATACCTACCTAGGCTGGTAACAGACTGCGTGAAGCACCAGGAAATGATGTTGCTAGAGACGAAGCGAATGCGTACGATGGTCAGCTCATAGGTAAGGCTACTGGTAAAGACCCCGCTCTCTATGTATTTGGTAGATTCGAGTAACTACTGAGGTAGATCCTCAGCGCGAAGCTAGTCGTTTACAATCAGTGCTGATATCCACCGAAAAATTTGTAGCTTTGCAAGAGATACGTCTGCTTCCCACTCGCAGAAAAAGGTGTTCATGTGGCCTTGGAAGATCCAGGTCGTACCTATAGAGTTGGCAATATGTTTGATCAGGGAGAAGGAGTATAGAGTGCGGGGTCATTAAAGCAGCCGCACTAGAAGAATGATATGCACCATAGACCATTCGACTCTAAACATCACATGTATACAAAAGCTCTCTATACCTCACAACTCTCCACATGCTTGCGAAGACCAAGATCGCTGCTAAGGCATCAACAACATTAACGCTAATGCCCATGTACACGTGGAATCCAGTTCCACGGTACATTTTCGCCGACAGACGTCCAGCATACCTAGGCAACCTTACATACAGCCCAAAAGCTTACACCTACATCAAGGATCAAGGCTTGCGAGGCTGACATGCAGGTGGCCAAAGCCTACGCGGCCCCAAACGAGCAGCGCTGACAGTGTCGCCATGTGGAGACACACTACTGATCGCAGATTAGCGAGAGAACAAGATCTGAGAAAGCGCAACCCACAGACAGAGGGCTTAGCGCACGAACACCCGCAGCCCGTATTGAGACCCGCGTTGAGCGTACCGTTGCCTGAACCATCGTAAGCTAGCTTGCTTACCATCATCAGCCTCGCAAGAGGCTCGTAACGTGGACTAGCTGCCTGCACCCGGTTATTCTGCGCCGATGGTGTATAGGATTCTCGTATGCAGTGCGTATGGGTTTACTTCGGAGCAACGACGGACCTTCAACCGACTGCGACAAAGATTCATGATCTGTCAGCGCTGAGTAACGCATGAATAATTTGCAAAGGGTCGCGTGGAATCCGGAGATAACGCAACTCCGCGCGTATTCGCGCTTAAAGTGTGTCTCGGCGTAAAGTCGCTCTATGGTGCGGCCGAGGTGATGCCACCGGTTAACGAAAGAGGAAGCAGGAATGCTTTTGCAGTGTTGAGGGCCAACAGATTGCGGAGAATGCAGTCAGCGTAGAGGGTGTGGTGAGATTTGACTCGGCAGATCTCCGAACTCGACCGACCGAACGACCGGATGAACTCCGCATCGCGGTATTGGTGTCGCAGGATCCGCTAGTTCAGGTCGCATCTCCAGTGACAAAGAAGCAATTATCTTGGTGATGCATCAGTCAGGAGAGCGGTTGTGACTGAGCGCATGACGGATGACGTTGCGAACCAGGTCCCGAATGCCATGAGGCACAAAACCGGAAACGGTCGACGCCCTGTTACATTTCCAAGCCTCACGAACCCCAAAAGAACCGTTGGGTGGAAGAACGTCGGAAGGCGCTTGCCCTGCATATGCGAGCAGGACTTGTAAAAATCTTATCGCGGCAGATGGAGAACAGATAAAAGCGTAGGAATAGAAATCCTTGGGCGAGCATTGCCATGCTATCCATACATACTTGAAGATGTATAGTGACCGGTGCATCGAATATGTCACAGCTGCGTTGTGAGTGGAGAAGTCACAAACACGCGACTATCAGGCCTCAGGCGTCATGATCGGCAGTCATGCTTCCTGTCATAGCAGGTGGACCGGCAGAAACTTTGTCGAAAACAAGCAGACGCAGGGTCTCATCATCCCGCGCTCGCGGATTGGCGGGCACAAGGGCTAGGGATGATGCCCGCTCAGCCGTTGGCGATCGATGACCACATCGGGCGAGCTTCGAGAAGTGATGGGCAGTTTCAATGACCAGCAGGTTGTCGACTAAGACGTCAGGGAAAGGATATTCATTGGGGACATATTGCTTCGCAAAAATAGAAGCGCAAAGCAGGAGTTCTGCACGGCAGTCGTTTGGGATGGATGGTGAGGGAAGGGATGGTGAGGAGACTTCGGAGAGATGATGTCATGGACCCTCATAAGCGATGAGATAGCATTCGTTCGGTCCGACGGAGATGGACGCAATACGAATGCGACTGCAAGGACACAGTATTCCCCATGGCATGAGAATGCAAAATATGAAAGAAGAACTCGGGTTGTGGCATCGAAGGATACAGAAGGCTCGGGTGGCAGGGCGCCGGCTTAGAAATGTGGCTAGTAACTTCGACGCGCGAATGAACGGTCCAGATCACCTCGCGGCCGCCGGAACAGTTACATTGTCCGTGCATACGATAGGGCTGCACTGCCACATGGTGATGCGATGGACCCTGCATTTGTGTCCTTCTCCACCGATCTTACCCGTTCGAGGCCGTCGATGCGATGCCACGTTGGTTTTAGGGCTGCATTGCAACTCCACAGGATGCTTGCAGCACGTTGCATATGCCGTTTATTCAGCAGGGAGAGTCTCAGTGAAGAGTTTTCCTTGTGCAACCTTGGCTGTACTCGACCTGTGGCTGTCGGGATGTTGCACGGCAGTGCCGTTGTTGAGTAGAGGATGCTGCCAGTGCCGAAGCGGAAGTGGAGGTTCCACCTGCAGGATAGACGGTATCTGAGCTGACCTCGGATGCATATGCTAGTAGTATCGCAGCTGGTAGGTGCACATCCCAGTTTATTGGTTCATGGATCGATCTCCAGTTTCAGCATCTCTTGAAGAGATGTGCATTGTGCTAGCCAGCAGAGTGGTCCTCGGGAGCCGTTTGGCCACCAGATCCAGCTATCAATAGTACAGAGTATGGGGTAGGCTATTGACGGTTATCTCCAAACGATACCGCGTGGCCTCGCGTCCAATACACGCGAGCTGAAAGCAGTATCATATCACGGTCTTGGGCCCAGTAACTCAAATGCCACAGGGCAGCTGTGAGTCACGCGTGAGGACATGTGACCACTGTAGACGCTGGCCGAGGTGTGGCTGGTGCCCGTCGCGTACTCCATCTGGTATTCGTAATGCACATGCGCTGTCGAGTAGGTTGTGCATGGAACGATGCTGCTCAGCCCGTCTTGGAGCATCGTAGTCCCAGCGAGCCTAAACGGCCATCTGTTAGACCAGATACGGGCGTGTCACCATGGACAGACCTTTGGAATTGGTCCGTCGCACGATGCCCTACAAGCTACATGCCGACTGCACACTAGAGCGACTGGCACAGCGATGAGTAACGGTTCGGTTCGTAGGGCTCCGTTTCACGTGGAGAGCATGCCTGCAGAGATCGCCTAGATGGGCACAAGCGATTGCACAGTATTTTGGGAGCAAGTCATGGACGCTGGGGGAAGGCCTCTCGGCTGGTATCCGAAGGCATGTGGAAAATTCTGTATGGTAGACAGTCGTCTGCCGGGTTCTGCACAGCCTTCGGTCGGACAGGGCCCGCGGCGGCCGTATGCAGGGTGCGTGAGGGTGGTGTCGATCGCGCCGCTTTTGCGCGTTGGCGTAATGTTAGCGTAGACACCCCTGCAACGCCCAACATGGGTTGCGTCATAGGATGAGGTATGAAAGGAAACCGATTCCGCGTACTCAGCAGCCCAAGCCGTTTAAACTGTCGCTCAGCAATTTGCAATCTCTTACGACACACACACACACCTTAATCCCGACACTCCGAGCACAGCCGACGCAGACTCTGAATTCTTCCAACGTCTTCGACCGCGTGCTGCCCAGATCACCTCATCAAGTGGTCTTTCACTCAAATCGGCGAAGACTAACCGAGTCATCGGCCGGTAGCCCACTAGTATAAAGCAACTTGCCACCCGCGCTGGTCCCTTACTTTTCCTCCCGACCATTATGTTAGCGCTACCCACACAACGTCACCACCTTTCAACCATACCGTCACCACCGTCTTCACACTCCTCCTATCAACACCTGCCCCAGCAGTTTGCCGCACAACATCTCTACGACCAGAAGCTCCTCAACGACTACCTCGAGTCCCAGCAGCAGTCTTACGGCACTTCATCCAGCAGTGCACCCAACTCGTACATGACGAGCGCATACACCGATTTCGCGAACCCGGCCATCCGAATCCAGCAGTCGACACCCACACCGCAGCTTCCCCAGGGCTTCGCACAACCGCCTATGCTCTCGACCAGCAACACCAGCACGGGACTTGAGTCCTGGAACTATGGTAACGTGCAGGGCCAAT